GGTCAAGCAAAATTCATAAAATTGAAATGTTGCTGCAGTTTGATGTAGAAATAATTACGATTCTTTTCACAATAAAAGTGAATCCAGTCAGTAGGAATGATTGCAAATTCCTGATAGGATCAGTGAAGAAAAATGTCTGCTCAACATTAGCCATGTTGGCTTTGCACTAATAACAACGGCTTGTACTAAGTATTAAAAATATTAGCATCTTAAATACAGCCCCATCAAATTTCAGACACAAAAGCAATACATGCATGACCTTGAATTCATCTCCTTGCAGAATTCATTATCAGGTATAACTACAGTTCTGCATTCAAAATGCCATTAGGGATTCCATTAGGGAAGGAAATTGCCATCCTTACCAGGTCTGGCCTACACGTGATTCCAGACCCACAGCAATGTGGTTGACTCTTAGCTACCCTCTGGGGCAATTAGGGATGGGCAATAAATGCCAGTGATGCTCTCATCCCATGAATGAATAAAAAATAGTATAAAGTAATATATCTAAAACAAAACTCTTTCAGAACTGAAAAATGTATTCTATGCAAAGCAGATGGGGGGATATCTATTTTCAAGAATAAATGTTTGACGTGGTTTTCAACTGGTCCTTTTGCTGAATATCCATTATTATCAAGCTAGGGATGTGTCACTCTGTCTTGGGAATATACCTCCCACTGACTGCGCGGCAGCTCTCTCCCCATCAAATGAAATGAAAGCCTGTAGGCTTTGCTTGTGGGTGTAATTTGAATTATCCACCCTGCTCTTGCTTCCTAACAAAGGCTCTAATGAGGCTGACTAATACCGGACAATTTCCAGCCACAATTCCATCCATTCTGCCTCCCAGTGCAATGCAATCTGCTTTTCTTAGCTACAGTAAAATGGAGTTTTTACAACACAACCCAGTGAAGATGCAGATGAACCAGGCTTTCTGCCAATCATCAGCAATGCTTGCAAATACTGCAGACCCAGTGGCTAAAGCAACCTATCTGATATGCTGGATTGACTCATTTGCAGTCTTCTATTTCATCGTGGAGGCAAACTGGTCATAAAAAGCACAAACATACATACCCCCTACCCCGCAACAGTCACAGCTAACAAGTGTATGTTTGAACTCTTTCTGGTCAGGTACTCACAGTAGCAATTCCATTTGCATTTCATCCACTATGACTATTAGATCTGAGCCTTATTTTGTGTGCTGGCCCCAACTCATGGTGGTGTCTATGGTAATTTGGTGTTGGATCTATATTCCCCAGTTTTCCTTGGAATGGTTCTTCTGAACCAACCTTTTCCAACAGTGGCCTTCAGTTCAACTCAGACAGGTGCATTTAGCAGTTGAGTACTTGGAATTGGGGGCCTAAAATTCCCTTGGACAGAAGTGTCACCCATGTGCCATCTCAGTGCCAAAGGGAGAATAAGATTTGTAGAAACAGAGGTTTTCTGATTGAAGTAATAAATCAGTCAAGGATGCAAGTCTGCTATGAATGTCGAACCAAGTATGTAATGAGTTAATGCTCATAACACAGGGGACTGAGAGTTAATTAGGGATTTTGGTCTAAAAATGGCTCAGTCCTCATCAACCAGCGCTATTTTGGGAGTTTACTGGTTAGCAACAGTCCCAGCTCCTAACACAGGCCTACTCTGCTTTACGAAAATAATGGTCAGATTGACAAGGTTAACAACAGTCTGTCAGTGAACGCACCAGATTGCAAGGTACAACACAGCACTCCTTGAACCCCTGCTTCCCTTGCAAAACAGATAGGGCTCCAGAAAAAGCATGGTCTTAAAATGTCATTGTCAGTCAATAATCTGTTAATATATTATGTTTGCCTAACTGTTCAGGGGAAAGTGAATTTGACAAATTGTGAATGTTCCAATGTGGTCCATTAAGCAATTCTCCCCATGAGCCACAGCCTTCAAATATTGCGAGCATATGAAGTCAGCATCCCTCCTGCGCTCATTGACATTCATTATTCATTGAGTGAAAGGCAAGGATATCTTGCACTGCCTTTTCTTCCTGTCTCTCACTTCCAGCCCTCCACAAATCTTCGACAAGAGCAAAGGGATCTGGAGCTGTGCTATTGATCTGGAATCGACCTTATGAATATGGCCCAGCCATTAAAGGTCAAGTCAGCAATAGGAGAGCCTATATTTGCAGCTGTTTTATAGTTATTTTCAACAGAATGACAATTTATTTCAGAAATGTGTTGTCTTTGGGGTTGCCTGTCTGTATGCTACAAGACGGATCAAAAGCAATCTTCCTTTACTTCAAAAGAAATGATTAGTATTCTCCTACAAATCATAACATTTTTTTAAAAAAATTAAAAGTCTGCACAGTCGGAGAGAAAACTCACAAGCACGTTGTGAAATGAGACAATCATTTTTGCATATAATTTGCATTAATAGCATTTAAATGTTCATCTTCGTAATGATTGTAACAGAAGGATGTTGCATTTGGCTGCTTTTCATTTTTCCCCCCATCTAAAGCTCAATTCATTAAATAACTTAACCATAGTTAGGCTGCTTCGCTGCAGAAATCCAGCAGCCTGACCTCCGTTAGCTAAATTGCGTCCATCCAAACCTGAAAGCAAGATAATACAGCTTTCCATTATTACCAGGTAACAGCAGATCAAAGGCTTTTGCCGATTCATTATAATTAAGTCATCCTACCTGTTAATTTCTGCTTTGCTTTTCCTTCAGGCTCTCTGAAATCACTATCATTTAGCCTCTTCTTCTGCAACCCTGTGACGTGCACGGTCCTTCCACCTCACTGCAAAAAGCTGGGCCTAATGTCTGAAGATGCTGGATCAATATTACCAAGATACGAAGGAGGCAGTATATTGGAGAACCAGCTATGAGCTGGAGAATTGGAATCTACCACTTGCATCAGCCTGTAGGTGATTGCAATACCAGCCAATTTTATAAATAAAATCTGCATTTCTGTCATTGTGAATGTGAGGTTACATT